CTACGTCACTGCCTGTTTAGCTCCGCCCACCGATTCGCGCACGTAGTGTAAATAATGAGAGAGACGAACGCAGGTCTACGCAGAAACTAAAGATAAAGATGCTCCGAAGACAACTAGACACTGTGCAGTGTCAAGTTGTGGAAAAACACAGTCTTTGCATTGCCTTCCTTCTGATCCCAACGTTAGGAAAGAGTGGATGAACTTTATTTTTAATGAAGATCCAGACCGCATCAGTAAGAACTCAGTCCTTTGTTCACTTCAATTTACCACAGATTCGTTTACAAACAAGGCACAATTCGACACAGGATTTTCAGAAAGATTGAAACTAAAAGATGACGCTGTGCCCGACTATATTGGATCCGACAGTAATGTCACACAAGCGTGAGTAACTCTTTTTATTATGTGTTCACTATTGCTTTGTCTGCCTACAGATCGTTTGATATGTACTGAGTTTTTATGCGTCCATCTGTGAAGGCTGTAGGCTGTCAAACATACACAGCTGTTAGCCAATCATAGCAGTGGGCGTTTACTTCCGAGTCTACAATCCACAACACCTATTCAAACGTTCCAATGAGGAGGGTCAAAACAAGACAGAAAATAGCCTATTACTACTAAATTATGATGTTTTTTGATGTCAAAGTCTTGATAACATTAAGTGGACCTCAGAGAACAATACAAAATAAAAAACAAAGGCAGTTCATGACCCCTTTAATGTATTCTTGCTAAATAAATGTATTCCTTTCTTTAAAAATAAAATAAATTAAAATAACCCCAAACTTTTGAATGGTAGAGTGGAATCAACAGAACATGAGGGGTTAAGATCAGCATGGCTGATAGGAAAAGGTTATTTACAATCTTCCATAATGCCTAAATGTTTAGCATATGCGTCTTCTCTTAGGCTTCTACATTGAGACACTTTTAGGTGGTGGAGTGGAGCCCCTCTGTCCATCAATGTTCACTGCACCATGACTGTGTTAAGACCCCCGACAGAATTTCTTACATTCAGAGGCAATTAGATGATTAGATGTTTTTCTTTGACTGCTATAACTGTGTCCAATTCCGAGTATTGGACACCATACTTGGCTACATGTCACCTCACTTTCACTTTAAATGTTTCATACTTGTTTTATAGAAGCAAATTTATGATAAATTGAACAAAATGAGATTAGCTTCAAAGCCTCAAATGTCCTGCACAAGTTCTTAACACTGCCATCTGCTGGTGACTGATCTTAGAGTTGTGTGACATATTCCTGCAAAGCTTGTTTTTGTGTCTGTAGTGTTTATTTTCCTTCTTTATGGTTTCAGAGCATGTAACTTCTAATGCCAGCGATAGTGAAAGTAGTTACCGTAAGTTTGCGTTCCCCTTTATTCCCTTTCATCGTTGTTATTGAATTCATCTCTTTAAATTTCATGAGTTTGAGTGTTTATTTCCCTTTGTTCCCTCAGCTTTCTTTTGTGTTATATGCACACACATACTTGAAAGATGTTTACTATTCAAGACCAACATCAGAGTCAAGATTTTACACAAAAACAATTTAATGTAATATTTCAAATAAAATAGATATTTTGATCTTTTTAAAAATGCAGTAGCAAAAGCCAAGATAATTACAACACACTATTAATTTAACCGACAGAAGCTTCTTTTACTCTACTATGCTTTATAGTTCATAAGCTAGCTATATGATTTGCCCTACATGGCCGTTTCAGGTGATAAAACAGGTGCTGGTTATCTGTGCACCTTGCGTAGTGATCATGCTGGGTACACAGCATATTATGGCCTGGAATATTACCTTCAAATAAGATGTCACAGTCATTTGAACAGCCTGTGGCTTTCAGTAGTTTTGTAACTCGCCTGTCATTCATATCGAGTGGTCTGAAAAACCTCTTGAACTTTGTTAATGCTACATGGCTCTCAAATCTCATCTGAACAGAGTGTGAAAATTAGAGACTACTGTTCAAAACAAGAGCAAAAGAAATGCTCAACATCAGTTTTCAGTTACATTTCAATCTCACAAGTCTCTCGCAGTCTTTTAACCTGTTTAATAATTTATACACTTGTTGTTCAAAGGTTTGGGTTTGGTAAGATTTTTAAATACATTTTTATTTATTTATTTTGTAAATATTATGCTCAATGCTTTTCAAAGCTCATCAAAGCATAAATACAGTAAAACCTGTAATATTGTGTAATAAATTCTTTATATTTAAAAACATTTTCAAATGTATGGCAAAGCTGAATTTTCAGCATCACATGATTGTTCAGAAATCATTCTGTGCTGATTTGGTACTCAAACCTTCATTTTTATCAATGTTGCAAACCGTTTGAAAACTGGGATGCAGTGTTTTTTTTTCAGGATTCTTTACTGCTACATTTAATTCATGTGTGCTTGCTGAATAAAAGTATTAATTTCTTTAAAAAAAATCTTACTCACCCCATACATTTGAACAGTAGCATACATTATGAATAATTAGTTACTTAATGTCCTTTAGCTGTTAGATCGCATGCTAAAGTCCTCTCAGAGAAGTTGCTGTATGAGAGTATCTAAGACATATTTAAGATGAAAAAAATAGTTCCACTTTTGAAAACATATCTCTGAATTCTAGTAGATGCTTCTCAAAATCCTCTGATTCAGAGTTCATGCGAGTTCAAACTGTTTGTAACGCTGAGGAGTGTTTTACTAACTTTAGTTGAGTCTATACATGCATGTTGGGTTAATTAAATTTAACTACACAGTACATGAAGATTTTTGAACTCAGTATTTCTGTCTCTACTAGGTGGACAGGAAGAGTATGTCCTCTCATATGAGACAGTCACGCAACAAGAAGGTGAGTGTCTTTCATTATGGCTTTCTTATATTATGGTACATTGGTTCATATATCTTCATTTTACTGTGTTGGTGTGTAATGCTGCTTGACTGATTGATTGTAAAGGACCCATTGTAAGGTTGTTATTATGGTTTACAGTGAGTTATGCTCGTCCGGTGATTATCCTTGGACCCATGAAAGACCGGATCAATGATGATCTAATCTCGGAGTTCCCGGACAAGTTTGGATCATGTGTTCCCCGTGAGTACATAATCATGGTTTTATCATTTCTTCTGCAGTATTTCATATCGTCTGCATTGTTTTAATGGCCATTACTGTACTTTGACCAGACACGACTAGACCAAAGCGAGACTACGAGGTTGATGGAAGAGACTACCATTTTGTTATTTCACGGGAACAAATGGAAAAAGACATTCAGGATCACAAGTTCATCGAGGCAGGCCAATATAACAACCACCTCTACGGGACAAGCGTGCAGTCAGTGCGAGAGGTTGCAGAAAAGGTGAACGAGTTCCACTTGTTAAGAAGTAATAAAGGAACTTATAGCAGTAATAAAAAATGATTTTTTTTTTTTTTGTGAGAGTGACATGCTGACCTTCAGATTTGCATTGTGCTGCATTTTTCTAATTTCTCATAAGACAATCTATTTTTCATTGTTCTTTAAGGGCAAGCACTGCATCCTGGATGTCTCCGGCAATGCCATCAAACGACTCCAGTTAGCACAGCTCTACACCATTGCGGTGTTTGTGAAACCCAAATCAGTGGAGAATATTTTGTATGTTATTTTTACTATTGTATCAAAGGCTCATCAAACACACAATAAATGCTAAAGCTTGATTATTTTTGACTGATTGGCACTAGTAATGTGTCCTCTGTGTCCTTCACAGAGAGATGAATAAGAGATTGATGGAGGAGCAAGGCAGGAAGACTTATGACAGAGCCATGAAACTGGAGCAGGAATTCCTAGAGCACTTCACCGGTGAGAACGATAGAGTAAACTTACCCACATCCCAGTCAGCTGTGACCTTTCTGCTTAGTCATTTTTTTAACGTATACCTGTCCTGCAACGAAGCCATGCCCTGCATTTAAAGTATTTTGACACACGCATCCAATTTTTCATTCCATTCCAATATTCATTTATAGGAATAGATCACTAAATGAAAATTCTGTTATCATCTGCTCAGCCTTATGTCATTCCAAACCTGTACAACATTCTTCTGTGTAACATAAAGAAGTTTTTTTTTTTTTGCTGTTCATACAGTGAAAGTTAATAGGGTCGAAAATAACATTGGACCCCAGGTAAATTTCATTGTATCGACAAAAAATAAATAAAATGTTTGTTTTTTTTTTAACTCCTTTTAATATTCATAGAAGTACGCTGGGAGAGTAAATGATGGCAGAATTTTCATTTTTAGTTGAACTATTCCTTTAAAACGTAAAAATCATCATTTGTTGATAAAAGCCAAGCTTACTGATTATAATTTGATTAAAAAGTACTCATAATTTGCACAAAACCACTGCCATTCAAATAATAAATAGGTTGTGATTTTTAATAAAACATCACAAAAAAGGTGGAGGATGTGCATCTTTACTGTGTGGTTTGTGGCTTTATATCTCCTCACAGTAAATAACCTTCAGCCAGAGGAAAGATTGCCTGGAGTATTTACAGGAGTTTTGCCTGGAGTCTTACTATATGATGTTTATTTTCAGTTTAATTCAGTATTCAGAATAAATAAATGTTACATTTTCCAAAACAGGACATTAAAAGAGGAAGCAATCGGTTTGGAATAAAAAAAGTGGGGTCAGACTTTTGAAAACAGACACACTGCCCTTTAGTTTCTATGTATTAGTGCTCACACAAAAGATTTTTGAGTTTTATATTGCTTTAACAATATAAACATGAAATTTAGTAACACCAGCTTAATTCACACAGATTTTAAAATATGCGTTGACCAACAAAAAGTGCTGCTTGGTTTGAAAGTGACTTCTGTATGAGGTGTGCTTCATACCCCACTACATTAATGACTATCGACAATGAACCTTTGTTGCTGTGAAATTTCTCCAAAATGTTGCTAATGTGGCTGCACCTCAGGACAAAACAAAATTGTCCAAATTTAGTTTTTGTGTGTGTTTATGATACAATACTTTTAAGTATTCCAAGTATTATTTACTTTTGATATTTGTAGGATTTTCTTAAATATTACTAAATAAAACTAAATACCAGTGGCAAATCGTTGTGGGCCACCTGTATCCAGTCCCAACTTTCCTGAGAATTTTTTATATTTTTCCATTGAACATGGAGATCTCTGATACTCATTGATGGTCATCTTATCTTTCCTTTAGCCATTGTGCAAGGGGACACATTAGAAGAGATCTACAACCAGGTTAAGCAGGTCATCGAGGAGCAGTCTGGGCCGTTCATCTGGGTTCCAGTCAAAGATAAATTGTGAGACGACTGGAGACAAATAAACCTTATTCTTCTTTAAACGTTTTTTTTTTTTTTGGTTTTTTTTTCTTTCTTTTTTTTTTATACTAACCTGGCCTGCTGCTTGCATTGGCTTTCTGACCCCTGAGTATAGGAAATAAATTTTCTTTGGACGGGCTTGGGGTCATGGTGGTCTTACGGCCACCTCTCTCTCTCTCTCTCTCTCTCTCTCTCATGCCTCTCTTTGAAACTGCTGTCTAGAACTCGCATCCCAATCTCCGCATTTCATCCTCTGGTGGGAGGAGACATGCTTGACCAGCGACTCACGGGACAGATTATACGGTACAGATTCCTTAATGTTTAAGGGAGGTGACTTTCTCGGAAGGAAAACCAATGAGATAATGCATTATATACATTTTGGTTTGTTCTTTTTCCCATATACGATCAGAAGTTAGCGCTTTCATGTCTGTCTCTGAAAAGACTTAAAGCACCACTTTGCACGTTTTTGCATTAAGAGCATGTTTTGGATGATTCTTTTTCAGTTAACATATGTTCTTACGTTTTTGTCAGACAGATTTGAGCTACGTGAACTGCAGCCACCATATTACTTTTGTTTTCTCTCAGTTATCTTGTAAAATCAAGCAGCCCACTAATTTTAAGCAGCTGATCTGTTTTGTCACAAGTGCACAAAGAGGACAAAAACATTTGGCACAAAAGTTCTTCTTTTTATATGAAATGTCTATTTGTCTTAACAATCTGTGTACATTTTAATCAAGGTGCATATGGGAGTAGCTTTTAGTCGAGGTGAAAAGGAACAGCTTACAATTATCGTTCAAATCCAGGTGATGACATTCTTACTTAAAGAAACAATGCAAATAAGAGAGTATAAATTGTAATGTATATTCAACCCTCAATATACTGCCTATTTTGTTATAATAAAACTCTATTGAGCTTTAATTGAACTCCACACCTATGGGAATTATTTTCTTTATAATGTCAAACATACACTCATATGAATATGTGTGTATGTATATAAAAGTAAATATAAATAGATATATAAATATATATTTTCCTTCACTTTTACCACCATCACCTTTGTTGTAAATGGTTTGTTTTATGCAAAAACACAGACACACAGGACACATGGACTGAATGGTGGTGTTCCATTTGCATCTGCTCAAACAATATGAAATAAAACTCAAGTTGGCAGTTTGAAGTCTTCAGCTCTCTTTCTCCTATATAGTTATGTCATATTTACTTTTTCATGTGACGTGCATGATTTCTAAAAGCAATAGTCTTTGACGCATTAAATATAAGCGAGAAGCGGAGGAGAGGGCTTCTCTTTCTGTTTTCACCTGGGATTGTGAAAATGTCAGAGTTAGCATGAACCGTAAACGTTAGAGGCTAGGAGATTCTTGCCTTCATGTATGTGAACTTGTTGACTGCCCATAGCTGAAGAGAGATTTGCTTTGCCACTCTCTAACACAAGTCTTTAACTCTCCACCAGGGGGCGCACTGACAGCATCCCCTTTTCATTCTCAAGTTACTCGGAGATGATTGTTTTCTAAAAGATTGCTTCTTTAACTTGTCCTCATCATGGCATTCTAACACATTTTTGACTGGATTATGTACATAATCTGCCAATTTGATTCATTCCATTTGTCAAAAAGGAGAACAGCTAATAACTTGCCTTCATGTGAACTTGTTGACTGCCCATAGCTGAAGAGAGATTTGCTTTGCCACTCTCTAACACAAGCCTTTAACTCTCCACCAGGGGGCGCACTGACAGCATCCCCTTTTCATTCTCAAGTTACTCTGAGATGATTGTTTTCTAAAAGATTGCTTCTTTAACTTGTCCTCATCATGGCATTCTAACACATTTTTGACTGGATTATGTACATAATCTGCCAATTTGATTCATTCCATTTGTCAAAAAGGAGAACAGCTAATAAAAACTTTTTTTCTCATACACAGTGTCTTTGTGTAACTTTTTTCATAGCGAATAGGGTAATATATTTCTAGTTTGACATGTTTTTTTTTTCTTTTGCTTTTTTTCTGTTTGGTCCATACAGTATACGTTAAGTCATTTCTAATCAAAACGGGGTGGTTACCATTCTTCAGAATATCTTCTTTTATGTTCCACAGACTTTTCCATCACTTTAAGCAACACACCAGGGGCTGGTTGCATAAACTGCTTAGACTAGTCTTAAAAAGTTAGCCATCTAAGTGGTAACACTTTACATTAAGGTTCCCTTTATAACGGTTTTATAACGGTGTTAATAAATGACTAATAACTCACTTACAAATGCATTATAAATCATTGATAAGCAGTTATAAATGCATGAGTAAACGGGTGATTTTAATGCAATATCTGCCAAATAGTAAGCCATTTTTAACTCGCATGTTATAAATGCTTAACAAATATATTTATTAATACTTATTTCACTCAAAATCAGATTCCTGATTTATTTCATGATGCAGCAAAAATTTATTATTATAGCAAGACTGAAGGGTGTTGTATTTATGGTTTTCTCATTTATATCTCATGACTCGTGTCACTTTTCTTACAATGTTTCTGACCAGAATCTACTCTGTACCTTACTCATGATTCTCTGCAAAAGTTCATGATGCCTATCCACAGCAATGATTAGAAACCGATATATTTTGTTTATCAAGATGAAATTATCATCTTGATTTTTATTTTGGGAAAAAAATAATAAAAGCACACCCATGACTTGATGAGATATTAATGTTTTGCGATTCGGCCCGAATCAGTTTTCTAAAGTGTTTTTGAAAAATCACATACCCTGCCTTTAATATTGAAAATGTTTATTCCAATATTACCTGTGAACTTTAATAAACTTTTATAAACGTTAATAACTTGTGAAAGTGAACCTTGATGTAAAGTGAACACCTGTGAACTATTTATTGATTAGCTATAAAGGTTAGTAACCTGTGAAAGTGAACCTTAATGTAAAGTGAACACTTGTGAACCATTTATTGATAAGCTATAAACGCACAACAACCGAAATCGCACAACAGAAAGAATCAGAAATTGTATATCAACATATTTTACATATTAAATATTACATATTACATAATTTACATGAATTTTCACAGATTTCTAATGTTGTTTCTACATATTATTATAAGATGTAATATATAATGTATTTATATAATGTCACATACACATTTAGTTTTGTGTTTGTTTGCTTAGTGATTCTTTTTTATGTTATTGCATCCTGTTGTATTTTGTTCCTTTCTCCTTTGGTCTATTATATTCCTACAGTATTGAGTAGTAGAGTTTTAGTATTTGGTTGTCTAAATTCGTTTTTATGTGAATGGTTTGTTGTCCTACATTTCCCTGAGTTCAGTAATCTTCTTAATAAAAATAGTAGGTACTTCTGCATCTGAATCCTGCTTCCTCCCTGCCCTTCAATACAATCTGTGACAAATATGTTTAAAAAAAAGAAAGAAAAATTAGAAGTAGCTACTACTACTAATAAAAAATAATTTATTACATATAATGCATTTTTATTATATTCTTTCAGGATCACATCACCAAAGCCTGTGTGTCTGTAGTTGCCTGTGTGTCACCAAAGCCTGTGAATGGCGCTAGCGAGCATCCGATGTAAATCACCAAAACAATCATTTCAAAGTCACGTTTTCAAAGAAGAAGAAGAAGTCACGCTGTTAGGATTCACATCACCAAAGCCTGTGTGTCTGTAGTTGCCTGTGTGTCACCAAAGCCTGTGAATGGCGCTACCGAGCATCCGATGTAAATCACCAAAACAATCATTTCAAAGTCACGTTTTCAAAGAAGAAGAAGTCACGCTGTTAGGATTGTTCCAATGTGCTCTGAAGCGTGCGCTCACATTGTTTATTAATTTTACTGCTCAGCTAACTGTGAGGTGACACTGCAGAGTATATTTTTCAAGTGTTTATATGTGTAATCGCTTTGTTAGTAGAATTAATTCGTTACCATACAAATAAATAACTGCTCCGGCGCTCCAGCGGACGGTTTGCTCGCGCGCGCAGGTAACGTAACGTTACTGAGTGTGGATGAACAAATACTGAAGTTACAGTGGTACTTTTATAAGCCACTTTTTTTGTGTGAAGTTATGCTCAGTAATTTTCCAGTGTGCTGTAAAAGAAAAGATTAATCTTTTTGTTTCAAGTTGAAAGTTGTTTGCTAATGTAGTGCAACAGCAATACAATTGATTTCACTAGAAAATACTAACTCTTTCTGTGTGTGTGCAATAATAATCAATCAATCAATAAATAAATTATTGTGTCCACTTTACATTAAAGTTCACTTTGGTTACTAATGTTTAATACTCATTAATAAATGGTTCACAGGTGTTCACTTTACATTAAGGTTCATTTATAACTGCTTATCAATGATTTATAATGCATTTGTAAGTGAGTTATTAGTCATTTATTAACACCTTTATAAACCCTTTATAAAGGGAACCTTAATGTAAAGTGTTACCATCTAAGTTGTTTTCTTCTAGACTGGTCATACTCTTTCAAGTCAGTTTTAATCAGAAAAGTGAGACTGATTATCTCTTGGCTAACTTAACTGCTAGTTGGTCAAATTAGTTCTTAAGACACAATCTTAACATAGTGTCTATGTTTATGCAACTGGCCCCAGCTGGAGAAAACACTGCCACCATAAAGTGCGCTGTATTATTGTATAATTGCACTGTATTTGTCTTTGTTTAACATGTTTGCATCCTGTTGTAAAACAACATTAAATCACAATCACAATTCACTATGGCCATAACATCTCTTGGCAGGAGCTAAACAGATGTTTGTGTAATGGTGTGACACTTTATGACAGTAAAATTATCATTACAACTGATGCAATAAAGTCGTAAGTCAGCCAAAATCAAATTATGACTTTTAATACTTAGTCAATAAGTGTCTATCTCTGTCGTTTTATTCATATAGCCTGCATAGTTGCTCGAAAACCTATTGTTTGGACAATTTTGGACACTTTAGCGAAAAAACAAAATATATAGAAAATTATGTGTCTAAACACTTTTTGTCTTCGTTTTCTAACCTAATCAAATTACGTTTGATTGTCATTTGCTCTTTTTTCAAGGTTAAAAGTTATTTTACCTGGGTCCTATGTGACACTGTTCTTGATTCTGAGACTTTTTTTCCCCCTTATGGAAAAAGGTGGAGTTTCCAAAAATGAAAGACCCCTCTGTGTGCACCTTGGACCTCCGCCCGTGTCTTGGACGTGCCATTCCTCAGTCCTCATGTCTGGTCACATTATAGTCTATAAATCCTGAATTTGACTGCACGTATCTTTTATGATTAAGATACAATTGAACGTCTAGTTATGTCGAAGGGCTGAGTCGTGGTTTGGACTTCAGACTCAGACAGACTCAGATATAAAGCTACAACACACTAACATCTGCGCACTCTTGAGTCAGAGATGGACACCTGGGCTTTTCTAAGCATTCTGCTAGCGATCACGCATTATGATGGTAAGAAACATTTTAAGTTAATATGAAGGGGAAAACGTGATTTCTATCTCTGTGTTTAATTATTATAACTAAGAAATGCATGTTTTTAATTATGTAAACAACGGTATGAATCTGAGATTTTTTTGGAGATGTAGGTGGAAGGCTAAAAATAATGGTGATAATATTATAAATAACTTCGTCCAGTGTCAGGGCAGAGTACGATAAGATGGTGCACTATTTCTCCTGCGGAGGAGTCCAAATGTAAAGCAATGGCTCAGGCCTTCACCAGTGCTGCAATTCGACCAGCGCTACAGTGCGTCCGCGTCTCATCTAAAGCCGATTGCGCTCAAAAACTAACCGTAAGTCTCCGTTTGTTTGTTTGTCTGTCTATCTGTCAAAGTAAGGTTCCCATAATGTGTGCAACATGATAAAATGGAATGTTCCTAACAACAACGAAGTAAAATAAAAATAAAAAAAGGTTTTGAAACATTTAAAAAACATTTAAAATCTATCTTATCTATCATCTACAATATTTGTTTTACTGTGACGCAAATGTGCATGTGATAAATTTAATTTTACTTGTGGCAGTCCAAATAGTGTTTATTTTTTTATTTTTTTGAGAAAATCATGGTTGTATTTTAAGAATTTTGTTTTGCTTAAACATTAAAATTCTCAATTGTATCACTTTTATAGAACAAAAAATATCTGTAACTTTATCTGGAAAAAAATAGTTGTGCCTAACTGTGTTTACATATTTATAATATTCACGTTGAAATTATTGACAACATTTTTTTTTTAATATAGTTATGTTTATGGGGGTTGTAGCATCACAGAAAACTCCAAGGTTCAGATTAAGAAGCTTTTCTGCCACACAGAGAATTTATCAAAATCATACAATGATAATATGTCCCTGCTCAGCGCGCTTTGTAGTCTTTTGTCTGTTCATTTTATTTGCAAAGTACACTGAAATCATTTTCTTTACGTAGAATGTTCAATAATTAAGTTGCAATATTGCTTTTGACAGAAAAAAGAAGTTGAAGCCTTTTCAGCTAGTGCTAACGAAATATACGACATTGGCAAGCATGCCAGGTTCAAAATTGCAGCTGGAGAATCTGGAGCAGATGGTATGTTCTTCTTTTAGAGCTGTAGATACCAGATTATGCAAGTTGAACCTCTGAACTCTGCCTTTGAAATGAAAAGCAGTGATTAAGGATATAATTAAGTGTCAACAGCAACATTAGATTGATTATTAACGAATGATGGCTGTATCTGTATTTGATTACTTTACAAAAACAATATAATAAAAGTTATAAGTAGTGATGTTATGGACTATGCATTGTTTTATATGGCAATGCAACTAGTCATTAAAAAACAATTAGTCAACAAAGTTTTACAACTGTTCTTCTCTTAACGGCCACAGGGAAAGGAATAACATACTACGGTGTTGCTGTGGTTAAAAGGGCAAATTCAGCCATCAACATCAACAATCTGAAGGGGAAGAAGTCTTGTCACACTGGCAAGCACCGCACAGCTGGCTGGACTGTCCCTCTGGGGTATTTGATTGACAGTGGAATGATGTCAGCCATGGGCTGCAACATCCCTCAAGGTACTCCACTGCTCTTGGTGCAGCACATCTTAAATTGTCAGACTGTCTTTTTCAGATGAAAAAGTATCTTGTGGCTTATCTTGGCTTTTTAGGGGTTGCTGACTTCTTTAACGCCAGCTGTATCCCGGGGGCTAAAGATGACCCTGCGTCCCTGTGTCAGCTGTGTGTGGGAGATAAAACAGGAAACTATAAGTGTGACGAAAGCATTGAAGAGCAGTATTATGCATATAATGGATCATTCAGGTACCATATTTATTAAAAAAATTAAAATCATACTATACTGAAACATAGCTGGTGCAGTTACAGCTTGGAAAATGAGAAATATTCTCAGTGTGTCACTTAACTGTTGTTTTGGACTTCACAGGTGCTTGGTTGAGAATGCAGGTGATGTCGCCTTTGTGAAGCACACAACTGTAAGCGAGAATACTGATGGTAAATGTGCTATACTCACCTTAATATAATTCATTATATTAATAATAATATAATTAATTAATATAATAGTAATATTGGGGAAGTCGTGGCCTAATGGTTAGAGAGTCGGACTCGTAACCCAAAGGTTGCGGGTTCGAGTCTCGTACCGGCAGGGATTGTAGGTGGGGGGAGTGAATGTACAGCTCTCTCTCCCACCTTCAATACCACGACTGAGGTGCCCTTGAGCAAGGCACCGAACCCCCAACTGCTCCCCGCAGCAAAAATGGCTGCCCACTGTTCCGGGTGTGTGTTCACGGTTTGTGTGTGTTCACTGCTGTGTGTGTGCACTTTGGATGGGATAAATGCAGAGCACTAATTCCGAGTATGGGTCACCATACGTGGCCACATGTCACTTCACTGGTATAACATAAAGTATAATTAATCTTAATTAAAAAATAAACGTAATTAAAATGCTAAAAAAGCATAAAATCAAGATGCAACATGAAATCATATACACATGCATATACACATATAAATGTAAATAGATACAGTATATTACCATGGCAGCAGATTATCAGATTCATTTACAAATCAAAAATAATTCCTCAGTTTCTGTTAATAGTATAATATAGTTAATATTATGGTTAGAGCGTCTTTGCACAGCAAGAGTATGTTTGTGATTCTAAGCAAATAAAGCGAAAGAAAGCACACATTATAGTTATAGGGTTATAGTTCTAATATGCTAAGAAGTATAGTAATTATACAGGAAGTGGGATAAGTGATAGATTATCATCTGTATATGAATTAATAATAAATCTTTTAACTTGGTGTCTCAGGTCAGGGCGAATCATGGGCTCAAGGCTTGCACTCTGAGGACTATCAGCTCCTGTGTCGGGACGGCACCCGCAGTCCAGTCAGAGATTATGAGAAATGCCATCTTGCTCGAGTCCCATCGAGGGGGATTGTTGTCCACACTGACATCAGCAGTTCAGTGGTTTACAACATGTTGCGTGAGGGACTGGTATGATCCTTTAGTAACACTGGAGGAGTTTTGACTTTTTTGAAATTGTCATTTATTAGGATTATGTAATAGAGTAAATACAAATTGTACATTTTATTTCAATGGGATGGTTTCATTTAAATGTGTTTGTGTGTGTGTTTCTCTTTAGCAAAAGTCTGGGTTCCCCATGTTCTCCTCAGCAGGCTTTGATGGAACAAACTTGTTGTTCAGTGACGCTTCAACCACATTTATCCAAGCTGGAAATGAAAACTACATCGAATGGATGGGCCAATACTATTACATACTGAGAGCTATGGACTGCTTAGAGTCAGGTGTGCATCTTTGCATCTTCATCAAACAATCACAAATTTTAATTTGAAATGCAGCAACACTATGCATGCTATTTTATTTCTTTACATTGTGCTCAAAGTCTGTGTTTCTCTGTGATGGGTGTGTGTAGATGTTCCCTCTCAACTACGCTGGTGTGTCCTGTCTCATGGAGAGCAGCAAAAATGTACAGACATGGCTGTGGCTTTCAAAAGCAAAAATTTGATTCCTGATATTCAGTGTATCTATGGTGCATCTGTGGAGGACTGTATGAAGAAAGTACAAGTATGACAATCAAGAGATATTTAAATACCAAACTCTCTTATTCATACCTGTTCACACCAAAAACGATAACTATAATGATAACTATATCATACACACCAACGCATGATATTCTGTTTATTATAAGCCTGCACTGCTGTTATGTCGTCTGTCAGTTTAAATGCACAAGTTCTTTAGATGGATTCTGGCTGTCGATATTTTAATAATTCTTCATTTGAAAAAAGAATAAATAAAAATAAATCTGAAAGTGATTCCAACAATATCGTTCATCTAAGCCTTTACACTGTAGTTGAGGTGTGGACTCTGCTATTCTTTTAAATTCAGAACGATTTTTAAAACTATATCTTTATCGTTATCATTAGTTATTGTCCTTGATGTGAACAAGCCTTTATACTCATAGTTTCCCTTACTAAAATCTGTAATACATCACAACAGTCAAGTTCCGAGACTATTCCATTAATTTTCACCATGGAGAAACAGATTTGTATAAACCCAAGGCCGCTGAAAAAATGGGCTCTTTTCCTCCAGAACAAGGAAGCTGATGCCATCACTCTTGACGGAGGTTACATCTACACAGCGGGGAAGAGTTTTGGTTTGATACCTGCTGTTGGGGAGAGCTATACAGGTAAAGTGAAAGTGACGTGACATGTGGCCAAGTATGGTGACCCATACTCGGAATTAGTGCCCATCCAAACCCATCCAAAGTGCACACACACACACCGTGAACACACACCGGGAGTGGGCAGCCATTTTTTGCTGCGGCGCCCGGGGAGCAGTTGGGGGTTCGGTGCCTTGCTCAAGGGCACCTCAGTCGTGGTATTGAAGGTGGGAGAGAGCGCTGTACATTCACTCCGGTGGAAGAGAGCGCTATACATTCACTCCCCCCACCTACAATCCCTGCCGGTACAAGACTTGAACCCGCAACCTTTGGGTTACGAGTGCGATTCTCTAACCATTAGGCCACGACTTCCCCCATACAGGGAAAGAGCCATACACTGTCCATGTACTTTGACTTAACCAATATGCTTCCATGCTTTTTATTTAAAATGATTGAATATAGTATAAAGTAGACATTTAAAAAGTGAAAGGACATTTTAGAAAAAAAGAAAGCATAACAAAAAGTAAATAAATAAAAACGTCTAGTTCATTATATCATTCATTATATTAATACATATGTATAATTAATCATCATTCATTATATTAATACATATGTATAATTAATACATATTAATTCATTATATTATACATTAATAATTCATAATACATTTATGAAGTCACTTGAGTATAGTACAAAGTAAACATTCAAAATGTGCTCACTGGGTAACTGTTTTGTGTTTGGGAAAGATTTTCAGCAGCTGTTTTATTCATAAATGATGATTCATTTTCACAAGCCATTGTGATTCTCTGTCTTAGGAGACACTGACGGAAGTATTTATTATGCTGTGGCTGTGCTGAGGAGGAGCAACAGAGACATCCAGAGATTCAGTGACCTCAAGAGCAAGCGCTCCTGTCACACAGGTTTTGGAAGGACTGCAGGCTGGAACATTCCCATGGGTCTGCTAATAGAAAAAGGCATCATCAGACCGCAGACATGCCAAGTGGCCCAAGGTAGGACATGTAGTGCACACATACCATTGGGGTCCTAAAATCTAAAACGACACTGAAAAGCTTTCAGCTTTTTACTCAAATTGTTATTTGTAATTTGAATCAGTTATCACAAATGTCCACTATTTCCCACAAAGAAAAAAGGTCACATACTGAACTGAAAGTAGTATGTTGTTCTGCTATATAAATAGCAAAATCATTGTAATGAGAGTGTGATTCTGCCTTTAGCGGCTGGGGAGTTCTTTGAATCAGCCTGTGTACCTGGAGCCAATCAGAAAGGTTTCCCCAGTAACCTGTGTGAGCAGTGCATTGGAGACTCCAGTGGTCAGAACAAGTGTGAAAAAGGAAAGGACCTATACGATGGTTACGATGGAGCCTTCAGGTAATCCACTATACTGCACAAAAGATCTGAAAGATTTGGTGCTAATTTGTGTTTTACCAATTGAGTATTGCATAACAACTAAATATTTTAGCATGGTCTGTGTTTATATTTGCAGGTGCCTTGTTGAAGATCATGGTGATGTGGCCTTTGTCAAACATTCCACTGTATTCCAGAACACGGATGGTAAAAAGTTCTCTGTTGCTTTAAGCCATTTTTAATAATAATAATAATAATAATAATAATAATAATAATAATAATAAAAGACTTTAAACATATTTATAGAGCTGTTCAGTCATTTGTAATGTTAATTTGTAGGCCAAATCAGAGGGGTAATTTGCCATGGATTCCCTCAGGAATTTTCAATAATAATAATAATAATACTACTAATAATAATAATACATTTTATTTTTATAGCACCTTTTGTTTAAAAAAATGACCTCACAGGTCAGAATATAAAGAAAAAAAAATATATAAAAAGTAAATAAATAAAAAAATTAACTATAAAATAAGACAATAGCGTAAACAAAAGCATAGAATTATAAAAGAGGAAATATGTTAATAGTTTCTAATAAATTTTGAATTAAACAACAACAACAAGTAATAGTAGTAATAATAGTAATAATAATAATAACAACATAATAATAATGACTAAGAAACTAAATGTAATAATTAAAAGCTAATTTTAAAAGATGTCCTCACATGATCTTTAAAAAAATGTGAATGGCTAGAACTAGGTCTATAATTTATATTTCAAATTTTTAGAATAGCAGTTTTTGATTTATGAGTCAAATAAGGTGCTGTATGTGATTAACAATACGTGTGAGAGAAAACTAAGAAAAAATGAAAACTACTATTCAAAAAACACAAAAGAAATTCCAGAGAAAAACCCATGGCTTGAAAATGCTCATTCTTGTCTGGGTTTAGGACTATAAACTGAAAAGTTCACTTATGCATTTTACATACAGCAAGCAGACCATTACTTTGTGTGTAAAAGTCTCTAGTAGTTCTCTCATGTCAGACTTGTTATTTCCAGGAAACAATACAGATTTTTGGGCGGTACACCTGGATTCCCGTGAATTTCAGCTGCTTTGTTCTCAGGAGTCTCGTGCTGAAGTCACTCAGTACACTAAGTGCAACCTGGCCCGTGTCCCTTCTCACGCTGTTATGATAAGACCCGATACCAACCACCACGTCATCTTTGGCCTCCTGGACAAAGCCCAGGTAAATCCAAATGTCATTTTTCAGGGTCATTTGAAAATGGACTTGTTTTTATGACTTTTTGGTTTGCATCTTTCAGAATTTCTTTGGAGTTAATGCTGCCTCAGGCTTCAATATGTTTGACTCCAAACCCTATGAGGGATCCGACCTGATTTTCAAGGACTCAACTATCACTTTAATTGGCGTGGGAGAGAGGAAGACTTATGAGGAGTGGCTTGGCCAGAGCTACCTGGATGCCGTAATAGCCATGGAGTGTTCAGCTTCATCAACAGGTACTGGCAATCTGCATGTAGGCCTGCATATAAATGTGTGTATGTGTGTCTTCTCATGTCTCTTTCACTATCTTTAATTCTATTGCTCTCTACTAGTCTCTTGTTTGTTTAGATAATAAAAAAAAATAAAAATTAAAATAAATTCTTAAAAAAAATAAAAATCAATAAATAAAACATGAGCACAAACAAATAAAAAAAAAAAAGAAAGGAAGAAATAATGCTAATAATGTTTCATTAAAAAAGAAAAAAAAAGAAATTATTTTAAAGAATTAAAAAGAAGAGATTCAAAGGATAATCAGAAGGCTGAATCCTGACTGACAGAGGAGGAGCTGGGGATGGAGGAGGGTAATTAGCTATTGAGCAATGCGAAAACTGCTGATAATACTGAGGGACCTTATATATGAATGCTTAGATAGGTGTCGTATTCCTATAGGTAGATGGGGATCAGCTGAGAGTCAACTGATGTGAGCTTGACTAACGTGACCTGCCAGAACTAACGCTATACGCTTGATTTCTCTTACAGTGTTTTCCTCATCCTCACTATTGCTGATGTCCATTATGAGCTTCCTAGTGTCTCTGTTGGCTTTGTAGCGGGTCTGCCAGCCACAGCAGGGGTCCCGGCGACTTCATCCCTTCTTGACTCTGACCTTCATACACATGCTGATATTTCTATTATTTAGATGATTCAAGTTCAAATAAAACGGCTAAATCTAAAACTACAATATGCTTAAGCAATAGCAATGCCTTTTATCTGGGATTGTAATGGTACATAGTACATAGTACGCTTCTAGTACGGCTGATAAGATAAGTGGGTCTAGGACAATTTTGAGGACTGTCTTAAATTGCTCCGGGTGTGTGTTCACAGTGTGTGTGTGTTCACTGCTGTGTGTGTGCACTACGGATGGGATAAATGCAGAGCACTAATTCCTAGTATGGGTCACCATACTTGGCCACATGTCACGTCACTTTCACTTTTTTTCACTTTCAAATTAGGAATTGCAAAGAGTTGGCTAAAGTATTTCTTTAAACCAAGTTTAAACCAAAGCTGGATTATTGTTATGACCATTTGTACTATTTCTACTCTGAAATTGCTGAGGGCAATAGCCATATCAGTGCATATGCTTTGCCTGTTACATATTTATTGCACAATGTTTATTGCAGCTTTTAAAACTGACATTTTATTATGTTATGAACTACTTGAAGGCACATGCCATATCAGTGAATATGCTGTGTCTAGCATTTTCCTCTTTGCTGATTTTTTAACTGCTATCATGCCATTGAATGCAGCATGCACTGGAGTTGTACTACTGAAAGGTTCTTTTCCTCTTGTATTCTAACAGATCTGAAAGCAGAAGAAATGTTTTGTCTGTTATTAGTTTTTGTTCTTACGTGCTTAAATCAACAACATGTTGTTCTCATGCATTTAAAATCCCAAATATTTTTTGGCAAATACAATAAGTAGCCATTGAGATTAAATAAGCTCTTGAATTGTGATAAACTCAGCAATGCTTTCATATCTGGGGAGAAATATATCATTCCAGTGCTTGTGCAGTCTGTTATGTTGCAACATTGTCCATTACAGACCTTTTGTTTCAGCATTTAGTTAGTGTTGTTGCAATGCAAGTGTTAAATTCCATTTACAAAACAATGTTCTCAAACTGTGTACTAGCAAGGTGACAATTTGCTTGCCTTTCTTTGTGATAGAAACTTGTTATAAATTCCAAAAATGATACATACAGATCATGTGAGTGAGATGAAACTACACTGCAAGATAAATAACTTTTCCTCAAACATCAATTCCGAGCAAATGGGGCTTAACAAGAATCGTTTGTCTAAAACCCACAGTGGAGCTCCAGCAGATGATTTATACATTGTTTAACATAGTATCACTTCCTTGCTTTCTGATGTGTTTCTTTGAGAGATTTATTTTTATTTGTTCAGATACCATATCAGTGTATATGTGCTGACACATGAATGTCCTACATTAATACCTGCTTTGTCTTGCAATTTCTTGATGAAATGATTGAGATATAACTAATATTTAGTTGCCAGGCCAGTGCGTCTGCTCAAGTATCACAACACTTATCACTTATTTTAAATAAACAAGCATCTTAAAATGTGTGTTGCTGTTCATCACTGCTTTGCTGCAGCATAATTAATGACTTAATGATTGGCAGGCAAATGATAAAACATGTTTATTATTTATTACTGACTGAAGAAGATTGTTTTCATTGGTCTTTGTTATTTGAAAATTGTCCAGATGTCCATTTTATTTTAGTCCAGATCTGTTTTTGAGAGTATTTCAGATGCTTAAGTCCAGTGCCCGCGTTATAATAATTATTATATATATGTAATTTAACATATATTCAAGTGCAGTATGCATAAAGCTTGAACTATTCAAATATATGTTTAAAATATTTGTTATTTATGTAGTAGTAGTAGTAATAATAATAATAATATTTAAATGACACATTTTTCTTAAATATTATATTTTTTACTTTAATATATTAAACAAAATTTTTTTTAAAAGCTACATCTACCCTATTATTATCTTATACAGTGAGTGGTTATATCACGGAGTCTGGTTGCATAACAGCTGTTGTCTGTGTTCACTTATAATGCAGCACCATCTGCTGATCATATTACCATACTGGATTCCACATTTGGCCTTAATGGGTCATTCATTATGTGTACTGTACATCCATAAAGCGTCATAACACAGCATAAGAAAAGGGGAACGGTTGTAACGTTAAAGAAAAAAATAGCTTTTTCTTTTTTTCTTTTATTTAATATCAAAACTATTGGGAGCTGAAGGTGTAAGTAATGTTTCTTATATGTATCTGTAAGGGTCAACAAATAATGAAAACTTTCTATTATATTGGAAAATGTTTATTTTAGTATTTCTAAAATATAGTAGAAACATTCGACTTACTATTTATATTTGAATGCCTCACGGTGAAAGCAACGTTCTTTCCTAGGGACTTTTATTTTAAAAAATCGGAGGTCCCTTTATTATAGTTATAGTTTACAATCGTTTACTTCACAACACTACAACCTCATTAATGTTCACAGGTGTTTTAGTATCATAATTTCGCATTCATGTCTCGTTTCAAACGAGGGGCACATGTGGACTCGAGAGCGGGATTCAGACAGGAGAAAGAAGACTGTCCTGTCCCGTATGGATTACTGAAAGCTGCTAGAAAGAGCGGGCAACTCAAATCTATCCGGGCGCGGTCTAACTGAAGGTAAGAATAGTAATATAAAATAAAAATATATGTAATATAAAATATATATTTTTTAAATATGTGTTTTTCAGATATAAAAAACAAAACAAAAAACTGAAGGTAGTACTAGAAAAACACTATCCGACATCAGTGCACTAACTTACATTCACAAAAAATATAGCAACCATAGTTTGTGGCTCCAAAAAAAAAAAACATGAGCAGATATAATATAATTTAAAAAATTCACCACGGTAAACATTTCATGTCATGGAAAAATACATAAAAATGCCAAAGATTTTGTTTCTGTCCAAAAAGTTTGAATGAGATCCTATCATGACTTACATACAGTAACAACAACAGTTGTGTATTGCGGGATGAAATGTTTACCGTGGCGAATTTCTGTACGATTCTACAGAAAGTGTGCTCATGTATTTGGGTTCAGTTCCTCACAGCGTGTGGAGGCTGAACATTGACACACCTCAGGAAGCTCAGCAGAACTTGTCATTTGGAGCTGCAGATCTGACCAAACTTCTGCTGTCTTCCAACAAACTCCAGAGCCTCTCTGAAGACGTCAAACTCCTCCCTTCCCTGGTTGTCTTGGATGTAGGTTTTTGCATATCTCATTTTGTTTGAGAATGTTTTTACAATCTAAACACTGCATGTCAACACTTTTTATTCCATTCCTTAATGAATACATATAAAGGACATGGATGGCTACTCTCCTGTGGTTAAATCAATGTAACTACTCCTATAAACCACACATTACTTTTTTTGAAAAAAAATCATAATGCCTTAGTATTTTAATTTCCAATTTTTGAGTGTCTAAATTTGGTCTAGATATATCTGCTTTCTTTGCTGCCTTTTTCCAGATCCATGACAATCAACTAAGCTCACTGCCTGATTCTATTAGAGATCTAGAGCAACTACAGAAGCTCATACTGAGGTACTGATGGAGGCAACACTGTCTACGAAGTGATATCTTTTGAGTGTAAACCTTGTGTCATAATACTTGATCCTCTCTGTAGTCACAATAAACTGACGCAATTGCCTTCGGGTCTTTGGAGACTTACAAACCTGCGATGTCTTCATCTGCAACAGAATCTGATCGAACAGATTCCTCAGGATTCGGGGCAGCTGGTTCATTTAGATGATCTTGTAAGTGACTGAGCTCTTGTCTTGACTACCAACAAACTACAGTATATGGCACATAAACTCTAACTTTCCTACAGCATCATAAAAGCCTAGATCCAGAGATAGTATTAATATCTCTCATTCAACATAGATATGCACTACTGTTCAAAAGTTTTGGGTCGGTAAGATTTAAAAAAAAAAGTTTTTGAAAGAAGTCTCTTATGCTCACCAAGGCTGCATTGCATTTATTTGATTTATTTGTAATATATTGTGAAATATGAATACTATTTAAAGTAACTGTTTGATATTTTAATGTTTATAAATGCAGTTTATTCCTGTAATGGCAAAGCTGAATTAATCTAGTCTTCAGTGTCACATGATGCTTCAGAAATCATTCTAATATGCTGAATTGGACATTTTTATTATTATTAATGTTGAAAACGGTTGCTTTTTCATATTTTTGTGGAAGCAGTGTTACGTATTTTTGGGATTCTTTAATGAATAAAAAGTTCATTTATTTTGAACAATGTTGTAACATTATAAATGTATTTACTGCCACTTTTGATCAATTTAATGCATCCTTGTATAAGTATTAATTTCTTTAATTTCTTTGTTTATAAAAAAAAAACTTACTTATCTCAAACTTTTGCGCGGTAGTGTATGTCTATGTGAAATAATCAACTGCAGTATGATCATTTGTTAAATCAATGATGTTGCTGTGATGTCACATGGAATATGTGTACTTTAGTATTCCCATTATTTAGTTCTTTCCTACTCTTTCCTCTAAAAGGATCTCTCCAACAATCATCTAATGGACATTCCAGAAAGCCTGGCAAACCTGAAAAATCTTGTGGCATTGAATTTGTCCTGCAACAAGCTCAAGAGCCTCCCTCCTGCCATCAGTGAAATGAAAAGTATGTTTTGACAGTAGCAGTTTCCATGAGAGTCATGTTTATTGGTTAACCCGTGAACTCATCTTTCTTTTGTTAACCCTCACAGACCTGAGAATGCTGGACTGTTCCCGGAATCAAATAGAGAGCATTCCTCCTGTCCTGGCTCAGATGGAGTCCCTCGAACAGCTTTACTTAAGACACAACAAGTTACGCTTTCTTCCCGAACTGCACTGCTGTAAAACACTCAAGGTAAAGCATGTGGAAGAATACGTTGTGATTGTCTTAAGAAAAAGGCTAACACAAGGCTGTTTATATGTATTAAGGAACTCCATTGTGGGAACAACCAGATTGAGGTATTGGAGGCAGACCATTTAAAGCACCTGAGTGCTCTGAGTTTCTTGGCGCTCCGAGATAACAAGGTGAAGAACCTTCCAGAAGAAATAACCCTACTGCAAGGCCTGGAGCACCTGGATCTTACTAACAATGACATCAGCAGGTGCTGGGCATTTGTTATTGTATGTATACTTTGGAATATATAAAATATAGGACTATGTTCTGGGAACAAAATTATGGACT